ATTCGACTGTTTTTTTAAATTTAACTTTATTAAATTGTTAATCTCATATACATATTTGCTTTGAAATGTCGCTAGCTTAATTATAAAATTGTTCTGATCGAAAATTTGGTCCCCACACTGCCTAGCCAATACTTTTGTACAAAGTTTTATCGACCACTTTAAGGCACGAAGAGTAGACTTCTACTGTCAAAAATGTCGGTCTTGGTCATTCTTCGCTCTTTCTATAAAATTAGGATATACACAAGGAAATTGATGTAATGCTTAAGGTAGCTGCATGTTTGATTCCTTAAACTGTTTTTTATCACGGCCAAAAGTTATATATTCTTAGCACTTCTTAGCGTAACTTTATTAAATTAATTTAAATGACTAAAGCATGATGCCACAATTTCATGATGTAATTATTAAATTTCATGACTTTAGCCAAAAATGTTTTGTTTTTTTCAAGACCTGCGGGAACATTTTGACGACCCTCATTAGAGAACCTTTACCCTAAGCTATATGGAATGAATATCCTTTATGTCAGGAGTTAAGTTCAGTTTTCTTTGAAGCATTGTTGTTCGGCAAGCGTTCATATGCATAACTTTATTATGAAGATAGAAAGTTGTAAAAGCTTTCAGGATTCATCTTCACCATTCTGATAACATCTGATACGTTTTAGCATGGCGCCGTCGTTTAATTTATAAAGCGATATCCTGTACAGTGTTCAGGCTGAGAAAATAGTATTAATTTCCACAAAATCTTGTCTCAGTCATGCCAGCGCTGATATACCGCTTAGAAATTGTCCTGCTACGTCAGAAATATTTCATAAATCTTGCATTATTTATTTTAAGGCATTCAATACATGTAAATCAATGCAGTAGACATTTAATTAATAAAACTGGTCACCGACCTTTTCTTTTTTCTCATACTTTAGACAAGTTTGTTGTTGTGCCATCATCATCAAAGGCTAGCAGAGCTAAAACGGTGAAATAACCCAGATTTATGATTTATGACTTTTGTAAATGGTCAGAAACCGCTGCTCGTATCAGTTCAACAACAGCAGATAGCTATTTGTTATCAGTTAAATGTTTATCCGTTATCAGATTTGTCCTCGTTATGGGTGCGTCAGAATTCTCTGTTCTGCGTTTTATGCTTCGAGTGTTGGATAGGTAATTTGACCATCGAATCTTTTCAGCGTGTTACTGGGCGACTGGCGCAGAATTATTCCATCTGTGTTTTTTTGGAACTCAGTTAATAATTCTTGGCGTCCACCAATTGTCTCTCAGGTGAGCCCCATCTTCTCTGTTAATCCAGTTTGTTGTTTACGTTTCGCTGACGCATATGGAACGTCATTCCGGACGGAGACTTTGCATATTTATAGTTTCATGGTTCTTTGAACATCAGTTACTTCTTATTGACTTTAGTAGCAGACTGATCCGAGTGCGTAGGATGGTTGAATCGAATAACTCTTTCGTCGCCTACATGAGCTGAGTAGTTATATTTAATACAATTAAAGCTGGCTCATGCAGCCTACCTTTTTTTAAAATGATTTCTCCGTCTAACGAGTTTATGGTATCTTCCTGACGCCGAGCTATTCATAGTCGGTAGCTGTTTCGAGTTCTTCGCCATTCGTTTAGACAGAGCCTTCTGGGCAGCGTGCGTTGCGCAAGCGTTTTTTCTTGGAGAGATTAACCTTTAATCCAGTACTGACACTTCCTTTTGCAACGATGTGTTTATGATTCCAGTAAATCTGTTGTGTAAGCAGCTGTGTTTTTAATCTGATGCTAAAATGGGACAAATGGATGACAGTAACAAATGAACGATAGTAATTTGTGTGTTTGTATTTTAAACATGAACTGTTGCATTTAATATATTCATAATGCACTTTCAGGCTTTTATAGCTCTTTATTTTAGGTATAAGAATGTTTAATCGCTAATCGTGTCATGTCAACCATATTGGTCCAACCACTGCGACCTGCCGAAGTAGCCGTTTCGTTTTTACGTAGTTTTATCTAGTCCAAATCAGGTGCTCATGTGCATGGTTTATTTTATATTTCAGCGCTAGGTGGAGCTGGCCCTTATCACCGAATTTTTATGATCTGAATGTATATTGCCTTGTGTTTATATTTTATTCCTTGCTGTAGCCGAACAGTAGGTCATTTGTTAAATTTGAAATCGTTATTCACCTTATTCTCATATATATGTTTTCGTTCGATCGGTGCAAATGACTGTTATTAAAATTGCAGAGGTTGCTTGCCCATGCGCGTTTATCATAGGGTGCAACTCTCTTGGTTTGCTACTTATGTTTGCGACTTCACGCTTGAAAAAAAGTACAGTAGCTTTTTTGTTATTTTATATTTTGCATAAACTTCATGTGGATACTGATTATGAAGTCATTAAAAACATGGCCATTCTATCGCGCTATGTCCACTATAGGATAAGAACAGCGTACAGATTTTCCAGAACGATGCATAGTATATTCAAAAGTTCTGCTTTCTTGAATGATGATCGCTGTAGAAGATCGTTATGATGCGATATATCTAAAATAATAAAAGTGGTCTGAACTACTTGCTACATGTTCCAGTAAAGTACAGTTTTTTCTTTAAGCATGGGCGAACGGATGACTGGCATCTTTATATTTCAGTGTCCAGATTTTTAAGCCAATGAATAACCGTCGCGGTACCATTTTGCACATCAGCAGTTATGATGTCATCGAATTTTCGTAGCGGCCGTCCAGAAAGGATGTGCTGCGTGGCCGCAGTCACGTTTCGTTGTAAGCTTCATCTCCCAACGATGGAACATGTGTCTGCAATGACATTGTCCTGTTCGAGTCTGATTTAATCTAGATCATTTTTGCGAGCTGAGTCGATGCCACGGGGTTCTGTGGATTGGTCGAACGTTACTTTGTTACTGATGGCTGTAACATCCCACTCTTCTCACCACTGTTCCTCGGAACTCGCTTGTGGCGTCGTCACTCGTTACCGTGACGGATAGTTTCATACCTGGCATCATATCGATGGCTCTTGTTGATTTTTATATGTAATCTGACAATTGCTAGACGCCTGATCGCCCCTACAAAGGTGAGGGTCTTTAATGATGCGTGTCTACTTTTCAAGTATGGCGGTTGTAACTTCAAACAGCGTATTCTGCAACAAAGGACGTAGTACGCAGCGTTTAAACACCTAAACCCCATGAAGTGACAGCAAGTTTTCGTAGCATATACATTTGCTCCTCGATCGTCTGCTTCTCTTTTTCAAACCTGCGGGTCTGATGAAGAATGACGCCTAGACATGTTTTCGTCATTTCAAGCAGCACAGGTTGACCACAGAACTACTGTGAAGTTCTCCCTGGCCAGGTGCTTTTTCTCGTCTTGTTTGGGTATACTTCCACTGGTAAAAAATTGCGTCAGAATAGCGAGGTCAGCCATGAGCAGATAACCTCGCTTTTGAAGGTCAGTACGTTCGGTCATTAGTGCGATATCCGCTTAAACGAGCTTCTTCGATGCTCTTGGTGGGAAGGTAATAGTTTAGATTGAACAGCGATAGAAGTTCATATTGATAAGGCTTCTTTCCTTGCTCTGACTCATTCATGGATGTGGAGCCCATGCTGATTGTCGCTAATCATGCATATGATAAGGCGAAGGGTCTTCTGACATTATTACCCTAGAAACTTTGCTCATGAAATCATTGCGCCAGACCATGCCATATGCCGATGATTGCTTGGTCGAAACCGCCCCTACTTTTGTTTTCAGGGAAATACAGTCTCAATGAAGGTTAGTTAGCGAAAGCTATTGCTCGCAACGGCTTCGCCCAGGTCGAAAGCCAGCTTGTTCCACGTAGAAGCTGCGTTAACATAGTTCACTCCATTAGTCTGTGCACAGTGAGGAGATAGGCCTATAGTCACCTGGCCTCTCCTGAGGTTTTGATGGTTTCAAGAGGAGATGATTTGCATGTTGCCAGGCCAGCGTAATTTGTCCTTTCCTGTGAACTGCTGAGAAATGAGAGGTCGGACCTTTCGACTCAAGTTCTTAAGAATTTCGAGGAAACTTGTATCTACTCCAGCACTTTTTTTGTTTTTCTTGGCCGCCGGGCCACGTTCCATTCGATGGCTTTGACTATCGGTGTTTTAGACGTAAGGAAGAGATAATTAGCAGCGGCTTGGGCGGAAATTCTGGCAACTCGGTGTTTGGTGCAGGTTCAGCGGCTCGAGTGTGTTCAGTCCAGCGTTTCTATATCTCCCTTTCATTGTTTCTGCCGCTCTGATTTTAGGGATTTAATGAGATTGCAGTCTCGGGATTATCGGCGTCGACACCTCCTGTTAACATCTCTGTCTCCTTCAACCGACAAGATGCGTAGGTGTTTTTTTCCAGG